GCCGCCAGAAGGCGGCATAGCATTGGCTCGGCGTGCCGGCCGGCACGGCGTCCGACAACGGCATGCCGGACTCGGCGAGCGTGGCGTAGGGCAGATTGTACACACTGACCCAGTCGGCCAGTCGAGCCGGCTCGGGACAGACTCGAGCGCAGGCCACGACGAAGCAGTCCTCGTCGGCCGGCAGACTGGCCACTCGGCCGTGCCGGTGCAACCGGTCGGCCTGCGAGTGGCCCGATCGCGTCGCCAACAGACCGGCCAGTCGCAGGTGCAGGCCGAGCAGAAGAGCACAGCAGCAGAAGAGGCTCGAGACGCCGGCCAGACGCAGCCGCGTCCGGCGCTCGCACGACGTCTGCCAGGCCTCGAGGCTGGGGAAGTACTCGTCCGTCGACCTGTAGACGATCAGATCCAGCATCTCATCCACCGGCTCAGCCTGCCAGTCGGCCTCGTCCAGCTCGCTGCTCAGACTGTCCAGCTCCAGCTCTTCTGCCTCCAGCAGACGGTCGAGGTAGCCCGGGTTGACCAGCGAGAAGTAGGCGTCGGGACTCTGCGCCCCGGCGCCGGCGCCACGCTCTTCCGCCTCTTCGGCCATCCCAGAACCGACCGGCATCACGACTGGACCAGCCACGGCACACGTCGTCCGGACCAAGGGTCAGGTTCAGTTTGACCCGCCGATCGATGCGGCCTACGTCCGAGACCACACGAGCCGCCTTTTTCTCGCCTCAACCAAACGAATGCATAAATTGGTCAAGCTGGCTATTGGCCATCAAGTAGTAATGACTAAGAAATTAGCAAGTGTGCAGCTATTATTTTCAATTTATGTATTATCAGCTATTGCCTACTAACTACTACCACTACTGATCACTTATCATTTAGAATAAGTAGTATTTATCAATTCGTTATCTGGCAATCACAAATTTATTTGCTCAAATTAATTAAGATCAATTTTTAATAATGCCAGTAGCAATATTATGCTTAATGAATATTCTTACTAATTATTAAAATTAAAAGTATTTATGAATTACAAATATTTGCCTATATCTTA